AATCAAATCGTGTAGAATATTCGTATCTATAACATATTAAAAGTTGTGCGGTGAAAGTTGTGTCAATACAAAACCGGGTCCGTTTTTCGATCACAAAAACACAAAACAGTGCACAATACGATCAAAACTCAATATCTCTGAAAACAGAAATAGGATTCGGAGTTCTTACCACGAGATAAACACTTTTCCCAACAGCGGTGTCGGACGAAAAGCGCTCCGCGGCCTCCGAAAACGAGCTTTTCCTTCGCTTTTCTTCTCTTTCTCTCCCCTCAGATATTTTGATTTTATAAAAAATATTTTCTCTCTCCTCAAATCGAGCTGATTTCCTTATAACATCAGTCTGATCGTCCTGGCCGATCGCCACATCGTCCAGGACGATATGACCAATTTTCAATCGTCCAGGACGATTTTCCAGGACGATGCAGGACGATAATTAATTTGCCAAAAACCCTTGCTCTCGGGATTTTGCCATGCACTGATCGTCCCAGGACGATCCAAAATCGGCCTGGACGATCCTGGGAGGAAAATCAAATCTAAGAAGGCAAATCAAAGGAATGAGCTCTCACAACTCCGACCTCCATCACCAGACAACGGTCTTTCAGACCCCGGTCTCCTGCTAACAACGATCTTTCAGACTCCTATCTCCTGCCGACTATGGTCCTTCCGACCTCCGTCGCCTACTATGGTTACTCCAACCTCCATCATCAGACAATGGTCTTTTAGACCCCGGTCTCCTACAAACAACAATCTTTCAGACTCCTATCTCCTGCCGACTACGGTCCTGCCGACCTCCATCGCCTACTATGGTCACTCCGACCTCCATTACCAGACAACGGTCTTTCAGACCCCGGTCTCCTACCGACTACGGTCCTTCCGACCTCCGTCACATACTATGGTCCTTCCAACCTCCATCAACAGAAAACGATCTTTCTAACCCCGGTCTCCTACTAACTAAGGTCTTTCGGACCTCGGTCTCCTTCCGACTACGGTCCTTCCGACCTTCATCGCCTACTACGGTCGTTCCGACCTACATCGTCAAATAACGGTCTTTCTGACCTCTGTCTCCTGCAGACTACTGTCCTTCCGACTTCCGTCGCCTCGAATGGTCTTTCCGACCAAATAAATATGTCTATGTTGATTATTGTAACTCCCACCATGTAATGTGCTCTATGTGACGTATATTTGTAACATCAAGCAAAGGCCTTCTCCCTAAGAAGGGCCTAATTTGTAATCGACTACAAATACTAGTGGATTCATTCAAACTGGGCCAAGCCCCGTGATTTTTCCCCCCTTTTTAGGGGTTTCTACGTAAAAACTATGGTGTCTCTTATGAATGTTACACCCTATCTCACTTATCTGATTGTGTGCTAAATCTTCATACAATGCTAAGATGTTAAATTATGAATTTCTCTACCGCCGCGAATACACCAGGACGCAACAATAGCATATAATATATAAAATGAAAAATACTTCAGCTTTCAAAAGAATGTTTTTTTATTATTATTATTCGAACCAAAAATGTAGAAAGAAATATAAAACGACAAAGACAAAGCATACATATTATTCAAGAACCCACAAATCTATCTATAATGAAAAAAAAAATCCTTTCAAAAACTCTCAAATGATGCAGAGGTATGATTACAAAGTCTTTATACACAATCGAGAACAAATATTTGATTCTTACAATTGGAATTACAGAAGAAGTGATGAAGGATAACAACAATTACACATCAATAGAGAAACCACAATATAATAGAGGTCAAGTAACTACACCCAGATAAGGGAAATCAATTGACGGGATCGAACATTAGTAATCAGCCACAATTGTGGCGGTTATTGATGGTGGTCATCGACGGCGATTGCAAGCAATGCATTAGAGTTCTTTAAATCCCTTAGCTCAGGAACCTTGCTATAATAGAAAATGAAACATTATTAACTAGTTTTTGTGAGAAAAACAACACTCCATATAAAGGCTCATATTGATCTTCTTAAACATAAACAATTTCTTTAACATTTAAGTATCTTAATAATGACAAAATTAAATGATTTTTTGCTTGTTAAAGAATCTATTAACTATGGCGATGTACCAAATCAACATTTGACTCATGTTATGTCACTTACAGCGAAACATAGGACGAACAGATATTACGCCTGGCCTTGCATCATCGAAGCGATACCTGCAGAGCAATTGAGAAAAAGAGAGTTATACTGGGATGCATGGAAGAAAAAAAATTTAAGTCTAGAGCTCCTGATACAAATTTGTATAAGGAGTGCAAAAAATTTCCTAAAAATGAAATGAAATCAGAAATGTATATAATCATTTTTATTTTTTTTTTAAATATCATTCCAAAGTACAAAATAGTTGTTTTATATGATGCACTCAGTAGCTCCTGACCCTTTTTTTTTTTCTGGAAATATGTACCTTAAAAACTGATTTGAAAAGATGTTTTTCATCACATACCCTTCATCAATAAGAAAGCTTTTGATAGCTGCAGGAAGTGATGCATGTCCTTTGCTGTGATTACCAGAGCCTGTGAGGAGCACAAGCAAGAAAGGCTGCCATGAGGAAGCAATGTAATAAAAGCAAGCCACGAAAGTTGGGAATGAGACAAAAGTCCTTTTTCTTGACTCAGGAATTCTTCATTTTTTAAAACAGGTTTCATTTACAAATATGAATAGAGATTCAGGTACAATTTATATGTTGCTGATTCCTCTTGCCAGTCTCTACCAAGAGAATTAATAGATTGGAGAATAAAAGTCACTTTAGCCACAGTTGGTGCATGGATAGAACACTATCTATACCTAAGAGAAATGTAATCCATAGCATTCACAGGGGAAAAAATGCATTCGCAGAAAGCATACTAGTTGGTCACTATGAAAAGAAGATCAAATTTATGAACAACTTCGTCAAACTCAATCGGGAATGGTGCTGTCTGTGTTGAAAATTCAGAATATCTTCAAAACCTTTAACAAACTGTTAAAAGATTTAGATGTTCTCTTTTTACTAAAACCAGTTGCCCGGATCAACCCACATAGCAATCAGAGCCACTCATATTCTTTGGCCTCGATCAGACAGTCCTTGTCATCATCACCCCCCAATTCAGATAAATCTTTTCGTACCCATATTTACTACGAGAGCTTCATACATAAACTATCTTATAACAAGCAATGTATGAAAGCGAAAACTTCGCCTAACTTCGCGCTCCCCCCCCCCCCCCCCCCCCCCCCACTCCTAAAGTTTGGGGCTTCCTCTGCATACAAGATGTCACATTAGTCACATATTTGATGTTCTCTGGAAACTTTGGGCCATAGTGATTACTTCTAACGGGTAAGTAATTTCCTTAACCACTAAACTAACTAATTATTTTGCAATTAAGCATAGCAAGCGGACTAGAATTATTCTTCGCCAGTTAATTTACCTGTAATGACATGCAATGACGTCTGCCTCGGTTGTGGCACTATAATCCTCTTAGCATTACTAGAGGTCTCCAATCCGCTAAGAGAAACAAAAGAGGGACTTGGTTGAATTGTTTCTAGCTTTGCCAACTTATCAGGAGAAGCAGAATGGTTCAACATCATCTTGGATTCAATTCTTTGAAGACGCTGCTTCAATGCATGAACAGCCTCTGTTGCATGAAGGCCATGAAGGTCAAGCATCCATATGTCATTATTGCTGTTCCTAATGCGTAGAATCTCCTCTGCTGCTTGAGTGTTTAGTTTTTCTGCAGTCATCCACTCTTCTCGAGCCCTCAAGGAGAGCTGACGTGCAGTTAAGTGATCACGCCTCAAATAGGCATTGCTGGCACCCCGTGAATGTTGTGACGCAGCCCTGAATAGCAATAATACAGTAAGTAAACAAAGGTCAGGGTAAAAAACGGAGGGAGAGAAGTAAAGAGCAGCGATAATATCTAAGAAGTCAGCCTTAATAGTGCCTTCTAGATAATCTAGAGGTCAAACAGTGGTTTACAATACTAAAAGCTGACGGTTCAGAACTTGTTACAATCATGAAGCAGTCATTACAAACATTGAAAGCTCAAAAACTTGACATGGGTTCACAAATCTTTACAGCTTTAACAATGGAAAAAATGCATCATAAGGAAACCTCAAAAATAGCACTATAAGACCCAAACATACATGACAAAAAAAAGAAATGTTAAATTATTAATGTAGTTCAACTGGCAGCAAAACCAAAAGTTTTATTCGTGCATACAGGGGTATAAGAAGGTCATAATAGGTTCCAAAATAATAATTTTGAACTATCTGTTCATACTGTAGCAAATGTTAAATTTTGTCTAAAAAAACAGAAATGTCAAATCTAAACCACAATTACCTCAACATAGAGTATTAAGACGTAGTTTATCATGTATGCTAGGGCACATCATGTACATTAAACATGCAGGCTAAACCAACATCAATGCTTCCCGTTGTCCATGCTCGAAAATTTTCAATACTCACCTTTTGAGTCATCAAGTCTCCCTCCAATCAAGAGAACAACCAAGGTGACTAATGATAGCCACAAGGCTTCCAACTAAAATATTGAGTATGATATGATGTTGATAGGACTTGATGATTAAAACAGCACAAAACAATATAAAAAATAGCAACTTCTTCCAAATAGATCAAGAAATAACACAAAGATGGCTGTTTTTACTAATTTCCAAACAAAGTAAGACAAGATACAAGTTGATTCACTGTTCGAGAGGTGAATCGTCTCTCCCACAATTCCTAGCAGCTACTAGGAACCCAAAACCTCGCAAAAATTGCTGCAAGAATTCAAAACATAACATAAAAACCCCAACCCACCATAATCTTCTCCCTTAAACAGCTCATATCCCCCCTAATAAATTCCCCTTATATCTTTCCGGAAGAGTCCCCTCATTTCCCAAAGATTTTCCTCACAAAGCCTCTTCTCCTATGGCAAGACTGGCCAAGTTAAACATCAGAATGACCCGTTCATTAAAACTAAAAAAGAAATATAAAAAATGATACTGTGCAGTTCAAGCCATGTAAACATAATTCATTAATATAACCTGCACTGCAATCAAAGCAGGTTGTCTGAAATAGAAAAAAATATAACCTGCACTGCAATCAAAGCAGGTTTCAAGCCATTGAAACATTATTCAGTAACGCAAACTTCAACATATTTTGTACACGGGAAGGAAACAAAAAAAAAAAAAAAAACTAGACAAATTACATTTTTGTTCAGAACACTTTCTTTGGAATAATATGGTGGAGTCAAACCAGATCTGCATTTTATCTGTCAAGGATAAAACTTATCCTCCACCTCCTAAAAAGGAAAGAGTCTAACAGCAAAGTAATAACCTTATTTTACATAGATCCGGATATTTAAAATTATCAGAAAATCAAAAAGAATAACAAATCAGTAGCTGGCAACCAGAAACCAGACAGTGCTGAACCTGAGCAAGATTTCTTATCAAAGAGACCAACTAGAATAATCAAAACTTTTGCCAACAGACAACTCAAACAATGCAAATTAAACTTGCATCGAAAGTACTGCAGCATAATAAAGCGTGTCAATTTCAAACATCTAGGGGCTAGCTGTTACAATAAATTTATTTATTTTATCGTTATTGCCATAATAAGTTTATTCATCAGTAAACTTGGGAAAGGGGAGTAGGGGACAATCAGTTCTCATTGCCTTGTAGTTAATTGTTGCACTTAACGGGTCCAAGGATTTGTTTATGAAATATTACATTTTACCGTAGAGATCCAAGTAAACCATTGTCTTTCTTTTTTCGCACAATAGTTTAGCAGCAAGATATAAAAAGTAGCATACAACAAGATCACTCTGTAGCTAATCATTACCTTTAATAGGACGGACAATCATCAAAATAATAAGATGAAATATCACTTTTTTTATCTTTATTTGCATTCGGTTTCTAGGAACATTGATATATCAATAACTATACCTCATCATCGTTAATGCTTCCTTTCGGTGGCTTAAGTAGACATCATCCTCTTCCCACTCAGGTTCAATAGGGACAGAGAGCTGCTTAACTATTAATTCCTCATGAGAATTGTCAGACAAATTATTTGTTGTAGAAGTACTGCTTTTTTCCATAAAAATATTTGCATCTTCGCTCATATTACTCCTGAGCGAAGAGCACCTTCCAAAAGGCTCGGAGTGCTTGTTTTTAGTTCCTGTTTCAGTTGAAATCATTTCTTTCAAAAGAATAGATGCCTGCCCAACATCATTGTTTACAGCAGCTAAAACATCTTCAATCAAATATTGATCAGCCCAACAATAAATATCTTTCAGCATCGCAATAGGATTCTCATTTCTTTTTTTTACAATGACAGCATGATGATTGCTGTCAATGTTAATATTTGAGGATGCAAGATTTGTATGAGCCTTGAGATGTGAAAAGTTAGAAGGCCTCGAGGGTTGAAAAACTGAAGAATATGAAATAGTTGGTGCTGACTGAATCAGTGCCGAGCTTTCTCTGGAGTGAGCATTGTTTGAACATTCCATCAAGCCTGAATATGTCTCATTTGAGATGGGGGGAAAGGGATCCACAGAACCTTCAGTTTCACTTCCTTGCTTTTCACGGTGCTTGCGATCAAAAGCAGCCCAGCCAGCTGTTTGAAACCTTGTCCGATGCATTTTGGACATTGCACAGCCTCTTCTAAGTGTTATCCCGGCAATACTGCAGAATTTGGTGCCTGGTCTCTATTAAACAAGGATTGCAAGCTGCTGCTTCAAAGTCAATAAGCTTGGGCCTGTGGACGCTTTGATTAATCAATCTGCTCCAAGAAAATTTCCAATCTTTAAACATATTTATAACTAAATATCACTCATGCTAAAACCACTGATTAGCTGATGGCTATTTGCAAGGGGAAAAATAGCCCAACAAAGCGAAAGATAAAATGAGCAGAAAAAGAAAGACTCGCTAGTTTACTAATGATGAGAAAAAAAACAAGAAGGATACATAAGGTGTTTGCTTATTTTTTAGTCTGCTTGGTGTAGTAATATTTCCTCTTTTCAATATTAAAATTGGGACGAAATAGTGGACAAATTTAGAAAAGCAACTGACTTGCTTAAAAACATTACAGACTCTGGAATTTCACAACAAAGAGTGAGAAGTTCTTCTTTCCATTATCATCAATAAGTGGGAAACATTTAAGAACTTTAGAAAATGTCTACATAAAAAATTAGCATTTTCTGACCATCAATAATAGACCATTGTGATATATCAAGGCCTTTAATTCAATCAACTTTAGCTTACTGCTGATCTTGCACACCAACAATTCAAGAAAAAGAGGTCAAGATCTGATGAGGACATCGTCAGCAATTTCGACACGTGTACCATTGGAGACACCGGAGATCGACGGCCACGATAAGGAGTTTTATTTTTAAGTCATTTTATGTAGTAGTTTATTTAATTTTTAGTTTTTCCGTTTTTATCCTTATGGGTATTTGGTCGTTATTGTAGCTCAAGGGGCATTTTAGTCTTTTGTTTCCTTTGTCATTTTGAGGCCTATATATATATAGTCATTTCTTATGTAATGGGGATGATGAATATTTTGAATGAAAATTATGTTTTGTTTCCACTTCTTCTTGCATGAGAGCTAGAGAAGGGGAGAGAGCTTAAGGGGAGCAAATCGCAAGGCCCACCAGTCGTTGGAAGAGTCCGCGGCTCGTGGTTAAGTTTATTCTATCTTCTCGTTTGTGTTTTTCCTCATCCACTTAACCTAAGCCTTCATCCTGTTTGCCATTAATCCGAGCCCCGAATTTTCATACCGGCCACCTTGGGATCCAACCCGCCGGCTCCTCTTTAGCCGCCGGCCGATTCCCCTCCACCACCCCGTCCCCCATCCTCCACCACCGGCCTCATCCCCTTTTCCCGCACGTTTCAAATTTTGAAATTCAAATTGGTTGAATCTCAAACTTTCCAAATTTGTCAAAAGCCATATTAGGAAAGTAGTTCAATTCAAATCAATTTTGAATTTCAAAACCAATTGGATTTCATGATAAATTTTCCGAATGCTTATGTGCTAATTTGGAAGGCTTATGAATTGCTCCCTCACCTCCCTTCTCTCTCTTAAACCGCCGGCCATGCATGGGTTCCTCCCTTTAATTCCCCAATTAATGCATTAATGACCCCCTAATTTGAAATTGAATTTCAAATTAATTTCCCCCCATTTTCATTCAAAATCTTGAAATTAATTTCATGTTTTGAATTGAAAACCTCCCTCCCTCCTCTAGTGAACCCGCCAGCCACCCCTCTTGATGGGCTTCATTAAATGCTCATTAATCCCCCTAAATTCTATTTGAAATTTGAAATTAGTTTCAAATAATTCCCTCCAAATTTACTAAAATCTGAGATTAGTTTTCAGATTTGAGTAAATCTCTTCCTTCCCTCATCTAACCTAAATCCCCTCTCCCAAATCACCCGCCCCCTCTCTCTCTACCTTGGCCGCCTCCCTCATTTCTCCCTCCCTTGTGAATTTGGAAGCCAAGAGAAGAAGAAGACGACACCCTTCCACCTCCATTTCAAAGACGTATGGTCGATCCGAACATCGATCAGAGATTAGTCTTTGGTTCCCAAGGACGTGTGGACGTTCAGAGATCGTTTTTCGTGACGTCAACATAGAGAATTCCAAGACCACGATTAGATCATCCACGGTCAGCCCCCTCCACCAACTCCGACTACTTTCTTGTGGACAAATACCTCCGGCATCATCTTCCTAGTGGTGATCTCGATTCTAGCGTGCAAAATCTTCTCTCACCAAAACCTAGTGTAGTTGAGTGATCAATCCCCGAGGTGAAAACTCTCATTATTAAATTGTGGATTGTTGGTTAATAGCTTTTCGTATTGCTACTATTTTTACTTATCTACTAAGTTTGGTTAATCTACGTGCTCCTTCGCCTAAGCAAGTGAACAACTAAGGTTCTTTATTGAAATTCCTTGCTATTGCAATAAGCTATTAATTGAGATTACATTGTCAATTGTTCTTAAATTTCTTATCAAGTTCCTTTTGCATGCATGTGGTTTCACATCATCTTGGTATCAGAGCATGGCTAGCATGCTTTACATGTGCTAGATGCATCCTAGGAATTTAATTTAACTTCCCTTAGATTGTTTACATGCATACCATCGCATTATATGTTTGCATCACTGTTTTATTTTGTTCTCCACTGTTTTCCTGCACTCATTTAGTGGGTTTTAGGTTAGTATTTCTTGTACTTAATTGCTGTCCACACTCTAGACACCTAACCCAACACTTAACGCAATCATTCAAGCCTAGTGTGCTGTCCAGAAACTTTCTGCAACATTTAGAGAGCTTTAGGTGACCCCAACCTAGTTTTTAGGTGCTGGCCACATCCCAAAACCCATCCTAAACACCTAGGCTTCTTCACCAACAGTTGTAGTTTGCTGTCCACACAAAATTCTGCAGTGTTTGGTAGCATTTAAGTGAGTCTAACCTTGGCTTAGGGTGCTGCCCAAGCCTTAGCATCCTCCCTAAACACCTAGTGACCTAAACCCTTCTTGAAGCTTGCTGTCCAGTATTTTTCCTGCACCTTATAACAAGTCGAGATGATGTTTTCTCTTTGAAGAGAGTGGTACCTTGCACCCAATCTTCATTAGGTTTCACTTGACACTTACCCATGGACCCGATAAGACTTCAAAAGAGTTTAGATGACATCGTTAACCTAGTGGGCAATATGACTAGAATTATGACGGAGAAACCCGTTGACTATCCCCACTCAGCTTATCACCCTAGACCTGAGCTTAGGCTTCTACGACCTCACTTAGAGTCACCTTACCGTCTACCCACCTTTGATGGTTCCTCGGACGCTTACTACTTTAGGGAATGGGCTAGACAACTAGATGACTATTTTGAATCATGTCATATCCCTGAATCCCACCAGGTTAGCATCGCTAAGTCTCACCTAAAAGGTCGGGCTCTTCAATTTTGGATGAAATTGGAAGATCATAAAGAGTCTCGCGGTGAGTACCTTAATTGAAAAGACATGAGACGAGAACTTAATTTGAAATACCGACCCTCTACTAGTGACCGTCATCTAGAGCATCACCCTACCTCTTTTGTTGGGACAAGTCGTGGACATTACTATGGTCGAGACCACCCACCCATCAGTAACATCAGGGTTGCTGCCCCACCCTGTAGGTCTTCACCTAACCATGATGATCGACCCTCTATTGGGTCTTATGTTGGATCGATCCCACATAACTCCCCACTTGGACCAATTTCTGGCCATCCCAGTCAACCTTTAGCCTCTCCAATCCTTGACCCTGAAAGTGTAATGTTACTAGAGGAATGCGTTAAAAAGAAGAGGTCCCCGAAACCTGTGACTGAGTACATCCATTTCGTGGATGCTAATGATATCACTGATAACAAAGAATTCTTTGAGGATGAGACTGAAGTGATTGAGTTAGACTCCCGGCCTGACTTAAACCCTGATTTAGGAGGTCTAGAACCTTTTAACCTTGATACCTTAGCTCATGTAGAGTCTAATCTCATTAACGATATCCTTTGGATAAGGTCTGCCTGGACGATATTAATTTGATCCCGAAAGAAACTGATCTGACCTTGAACACAATGAAATTAAAATCGGAAGATTCTAATTTAATTACTGAGATGAATCCGGATAATTCTGATTTGATTTTGGATAATTCTGATGGCGAATTAGCTAATCTCGAGTTGGAAGTAAGTCAATCAAATTTGTCACCTGATTCAAGTGAAACAGAACCTACGGATCTTAGGGTTAAACCCAAACTTGATTCTACTTCGGAAGACAGTAGCTTAAGTCTGAAAGTCTTTGAGCCTGATTTGAACAATAATGAACCTTCTCTTGTTTCATTAGAGTCTAACTTTGGAGCTGCTCATTTGGATTTATATTTAGCCGAGTGTGTCATTCCTGATATCTCTCTTACTGTTGTACCCACATATGTCCTAGAAACTTTTCCCCATCGTATAAGTCCCATACCGGCTGACGAATCTTTGGGCTATCCCCTTATGGATGTGAGTCAGGATCAATCATCTTATTTTATTCTTGATTCCAACATTTTGCCCGTTAAAGCCTCGTCCTACCCTTATAAGGACCACTTCTATCTTAGTTTGATGAATTTGATCGATTACACTACCCCCACTAGGAGACTGCTGTCGACCCTAACGAAAATTACCTATAAAAGTGCCCTGGTAGCTAAGAGTGTCTTCATTTCTCCCCCTACACCAGTTCCCTTAGACCAAACACTTTAAAACCCCTCTTTTTGTGACTCGTCCACCTTTTCTAGCTATGTGTTCGTGTGAGTTAGTATGTTGTGTGTGTGTCTTATAGTCTGTTGTCCTTCTAAGTTATTTCTGCTTAAAACTTTTGGGTGAGCCTTGATTCTGGTCATTCGTCATGCATATCGGTTCTTTTGCATATCCATTTGCATCTCATCTCCAGGAGCTTCATAAAGAAATTAAAAGAAGAATTGAACAAAGTAACTCCAATTTTAAGCTTATTTCAGATCACAAGAAAAGATTTAAAAAATTCGAGGTTGGAAACTTTGTGATGGCACAGATCCCTCCGTGAAGAAGTCGCATGCTAGAAGCACCAGACCTTGAAGATAATGTCAAAGATAAATAGTAATGCTTATATGCTGGACCCCAAGGGTTTTAACTTCAATCCTACATTTAATATAGAAGATCTAGTAACCTTTGAGGGACCCGAGTTGAACCCTAATAATCCAATTCAAAATAAGCCTTGAGAGAACCCACCCAGTGAGATCCCCCAG